AGTCCGATCGTCGACTAATTTTTCGGAAGCCATTGAACTTGGATATGAACTGTAGAATCCTAGTAACTTGTACTGGAGCTGAAGAATAAATTCCGTGACTTTTAACATAAAACCTAAACAGATATATTAATCAATATGTAATTTTATGCAAATAGCAAACAAGCAAAGCAACATCTTTATTATATAAAATTATCAATCTAGACCTATATTGTTATTTTCTATTGTAAATCCGTCATCTTGGCGACGTTACCGTTTGCAAAAAGGAGCGGTTGCATATAATTGGTCCAGTTGGGCATGAAAAAAAACCCAACTCTATTTAAATAAATTTTTAGCGAATAGCGGTTTTTGCGAATCACCGGAAGGGGGTCAGGGCCGACCTATCAGATTAACATTAGTATGCAGTAAACATATTTTGGGTTAACTACCTGATTCTTGTAAACGTGCTTTATGTATATGTTAGGGATTGGTGTACGTGCATTTTTCCGCTTTTTTTTTTGGCGAGCGCTACGGTAAAATTTTCAAGCTTTTTCAAGTGAAAAACGTTCAGAAGTATTTAGAACAGAGTAAAAAAAATGTAAATGATATATTTTTAAGGTACTCCTCGTATAGTAAAATTAATAGTGATTAATTGCTGAATAATTATGCCTTGACTCGAATATTAGGTGTCACTCACTCTCTATTTCAATATTAAAGCAGCGTTGTGTATTTACATAACTAATTATAACCAACATAAGGATGTTTGCATTGCGAGTCTATTATAGTCAACAAGATCGTCTATCGTAATGTTTTGTTAATATTAACGGTAACAAGTGTAAATGATTTAATCAGTTTGATAATTAGTCTTTAACTGTGAAGTTGAGTGGTGGGAAATTAAAATGTTAATTAAAATGTTAGTTTGCTTGGATTACTTTACTTGTAAATTTTGTTTTGTTCGTCAAGTTTATTTCTTAGATTCATTTTTTGGAGCTTCAGCTGTTAAAATAATGTAAGAACCTTAAAGGTTCTTTTCGGTTTTGAAATTTGATTGCATTTGCTCTAAAATTAGCAGAAATTCATGGAAAGTTAAAAATATGCACTAAAGCAATATATGCCTTGAATCAATATTTGAATCAGCCAGTTGAAGAGCATTGCACTTGAACGTCCGGGCTTATTCCCAAGTTGGATTGCACAAGAAAATTTAGCGTAAAAGACCATTCATATGTTATTTCTTTATACAGCCATAAATTTTCAAATTTGCATCCAACTTCATCAATACTGATTAGTTGTTTAGTAATTCTACTTGAGCCATTCCAGATGCCCATAACGGAAATGGAACAAACAATCTGGGTAGATGAGGATTTTATGTAAACCTCTATAATAAATATGATATCACACGCCTAGTCGGCTTTTATTACCATCAAAATAGTTACGCGAATAACATCGTGGACTTCCCAACTTAACGATAACGGTTATGTGACCAGATTGTTATGAATCCCTTATTTATACCATCAATACAATCATCAAAGTCAAGCTTGGAATTTGCTCAAGAGTTCCCCCGCAAAATACATTTGGATTATCGTTTAATTTACAAGAATTCCATTGAACAAAAGGATTTAAAAACCAAACGTGACGCGAGAATTGGACATCAAAACTAATTCTTACAGTCGCAGTTAATTTTTTCTGATGGTGGCATGTTTTTTATAGTTAGCCGAATTAGAACCCTTAATCTGAACCAGTGAACATGCCTTATGTAGGAATTTTTATCTTCAGCTGTCCGGTTTGCTCAGCTTCATATAACTTTCAGTTACCGTTCTAACAAGACGAGATCCTAA